CAGAAGGCAGCTAGTACGTAGGTCAGAGTGGATTGTGGACATGTCAGGAGCAAGAGGCCCCAAGGCACCTTGTCACAGCCTAGGACAGCTGCCTGCTCTTCGGCACCCACTTTTAACCAGAAACTGTCTGAGCCAGGTCCAAAAGGCCTCAAGGAGGTGTCTGGACTTTTCCCAGAGCCTCAGAGGCACCTGGATGCCAGGTGTGTGACCTGCTGGGAGGGACAGGCAGCACAAAGGAGAAAGGGGAGAAAGGTCAGAGTGTTGACAGATAGATCCACTCCCTGTTCAGCACCCTGTGCAAACATTATCTCTGCACATCCGGCTGTGAGCCAGTGTCACCTTCCCCCAGTATGCAGAGGTGATTGCAGGGGCAGGAGCTGAAGGCTGCACTCTGTGCCCACATCACCTCCTCACTAGTCCCTGACCATGGAACACCAGTACTGAAGCAGGCCCTAGGCTGGGCACAGGATCCCCAGGACAGGACACTCCTGCCCCCAGGCCTTCCCTGCTGTGCAGCAAACAATGCTGCCCAGTGTCCCTGTGCCAAGGGCTCGCTCCTCAGGAGGGAGCCGTGTCTGTCTCAGGCTGCAGGGAGGCCCCTGAGGGAAGTGCACGTGGTGGCACAGCAGGGCCCAGGCTGGCTTTCTGGGAGAGGCAGCTGGAGCAAAAGCCCCAGCTGACTTGAGATCCACTGGGACCAGGGTGTTTCTACCTGTGGAGGAGCCCTAGGGTGGGGAACAGGATGATGAGCTGCTTCCTGCATTCTATGCAGGTTTCTTTTGCCCAAAGCAGAACACACGTCAGGTAGGTGCCACCAGATCGGCTACTGCAATGACCAGATTTGTGCAGTTGACTCAGTAGGGACTCTACTCATCTGCTGCCAGAGCTGCGCCTTTTTTTACAGTCGGGAAATCCAGTACCTTTTCACAGCCCCTAATGTTCTTTCCCAGCCCTTCGTAGTTGTGGCTGGAAATCTCTGTGGAACTGGAGCCTAAACCCTTCCCACCCAAATCCTCCCAACAGCTCTGCTCTAAGAGGCTGTGCATGTGTGTACCCATGCAAAATGTGTACACAAGTTAGTATGCATGCAGTTGTGAGCACTTGTATGTGCATCCAGTGGTTCGTGCTTGTGCATATCTACAATGGGCAGACAGAACTTAACCACACTGAATCCTGATCCAGCTCCACCAGGAGCTGGGTAGACACCACTGAGTTTGTCCCTTCCTAGGCCCCTCTTTCCCATCTTAGTATCCCAGAGTTGCTGCTGCTCTGTGATCATAGAGGGCAGGCTCCAAGGGTGCAGACCTGCAGAGCTCTTAGTGGGCATTCGGTTTATATGAATAGGACAGGTGCAGACTAAGCACACACGGTGCATGTAGTGTGCCCAACCCATGTACATCTCATCTCAAGAGGCAACTGTTCTCATTCTCCCTCAAGGGCTTGGACTGAGATAGGGGAGCGGGGGCGTCCAGGGCAGGTCAGTGGCAGAGCTGAAACGCAGCTGCAGGCTTGGGGTGGACCTGGAATACACCCTTCCTTTGACCTCATGGGTGCAGAATGGAAGTAAAGAGAGATTTGGTAAAGGTCCCCTACCACCATCACATGTGCTATCCCTAAGGAGTTTGTGTACCCAGGTACAGACAAGTAGAGGCCTTGAAAGAGCTTACAATTCTGGGGTGGGGGGCTCCCCACAGGCAGCAGCCAGAGGAACAGCCTGCAATAGCAGAGGAAGGAAGGCAAGGTGGGAGGGCTGGCCAAGGGACATGGAGGCCCCAGAGAGCCACAAAGAGGCCATCACAGCCCCGCCTGCCTCGTAGCTACTAGCCACACGCACTTATTTAAATTTAAATTAGTTAAATGAACAGTTAAAAGCTGGCTCCTCTTTGGCTGTAGCCATTTTTTGAGTGGCCGGTGCCCACACGTGGGCAGTACTGCTACACTGGTTAGTGCAGAATAGCACGGCCATCCTGGAGGGAGGTTCTGCCGTCCTGCACAGGGCTGGGAGCAAGGCCATGCAAGCAGACCCAGAGAGGCTGTGAGCATTCGTTTTCCAGATGAGGGGAGGTCAGCCGGACCCAAAGGTGCCAGGAAAGTCTCTGCTGCAGAGCCTGGCGCTGCTCCACATAGACTGTGTCCAGGGCCAACAGTGAGTTCTGCCTGCCTTTGGGAGGATGTCCCAAAGGAAATAATTCTGTGATCCTTAGTGACCTAAACCAATCTGCCAGGGCCTATGGCAGAACAGGGAAGCGTCCTGCAAGCCTGAGGCTCCAGGAAACTCAAAAGAATGGAACTCTTGCCTCAGTCCTTATCCTTTTTCCAGTTAAAATTTAAGTGTTCTGAGAAAAGCCTTGCTGAAAGCCAGCACTTCTGAGCTGAGCACAGGGTCTACTGTTGAACCTTAGGTACCGCCAACTGGACCAGGGAGGGACTGACAAGCCTAGTCTGATCCACAGTGCTGTAAAGAAATGAAATTATTTGCCCACATTTTAAAACCAGGAAACTCGATAAAGTCCAAACTCTCTCAGACTTAGGACCCCTTCCCCTCTAGGGCACCCATGTGGCCAGCCTCCTCCACAGAGTGAACTGAGGAAGCACAAGGACAGCACAAACCCAGCTTGACACATGGTCAGACCAGCGCTCCCTCAATTAGCAGGGCACCTTCCTGGACAGGGGAACCTCCAAGGTTCTATCCCCAGCACCAGCACTACGCACAGGTTCCTGGAAAGATAAAGGAGGAACTCTGTCACTGGGATAAGTGAGGTTCGGGGAACCACCTGGCACAGCTGTGGCCCTCACCTGCAGCCTGGACTCCTCCACCAATGAAAGCCTCCCACTCTCCTTGGTGTGGACAGCAGAGTCCAGGGGCCCAGATTTCATGCCAGAATCATCACCGTCTCAGCCATGATTTTGGGTAATGATAGGTTAATGTTTCCAGATTCTTAAGGTCAAACCCCAACTGACAGGGACTCACCAGAGCCCTGTGGCTAGCTGGTCCCTGCCTCCTCCAAAGTCTAGTGAACATCCCAGAGCCTGAGGCACTGGAGACGATCCATATTTGCAGAATGACACTGGCTGACCTTTCCTGCCTGTGGCTTCATGTCCCTGGCCGGATTCAGGGATGAGAGGTGCTGGCATTATTTCCGGGGACTGTGGGAGGTGCCAAGTGCTGAGTCCATGGGTCCTCGGGGCCCTCAGGGAGACAGTAGCTAAGCTGGGCTACACACAGCAAGCCCAATGCAAGCCTATGGCAGAACAGGGAAGCGTCCTGCAAGCCTGAGGCTCCAGGAAACTCAAAAGAATGGAACTCTTGCCTCAGTCCTTATCCTTTTTCCAGTTAAAATTTAAGTGTTCTGAGAAAAGCCTTGCTGAAAGCCAGCACTTCTGAGCTGAGCACAGGGTCTACTGTTGAACCTTAGGTACCGCCAACTGGACCAGGGAGGGACTGACAAGCCTAGTCTGATCCACAGTGCTGTAAAGAAATGAAATTATTTGCCCACATTTTAAAACCAGGAAACTCGATAAAGTCCAAACTCTCTCAGACTTAGGACCCCTTCCCCTCTAGGGCACCCATGTGGCCAGCCTCCTCCACAGAGTGAACTGAGGAAGCACAAGGACAGCACAAACCCAGCTTGACACATGGTCAGACCAGCGCTCCCTCAATTAGCAGGGCACCTTCCTGGACAGGGGAACCTCCAAGGTTCTATCCCCAGCACCAGCACTACGCACAGGTTCCTGGAAAGATAAAGGAGGAACTCTGTCACTGGGATAAGTGAGGTTCGGGGAACCACCTGGCACAGCTGTGGCCCTCACCTGCAGCCTGGACTCCTCCACCAATGAAAGCCTCCCACTCTCCTTGGTGTGGACAGCAGAGTCCAGGGGCCCAGATTTCATGCCAGAATCATCACCGTCTCAGCCATGATTTTGGGTAATGATAGGTTAATGTTTCCAGATTCTTAAGGTCAAACCCCAACTGACAGGGACTCACCAGAGCCCTGTGGCTAGCTGGTCCCTGCCTCCTCCAAAGTCTAGTGAACATCCCAGAGCCTGAGGCACTGGAGACGATCCATATTTGCAGAATGACACTGGCTGACCTTTCCTGCCTGTGGCTTCATGTCCCTGGCCGGATTCAGGGATGAGAGGTGCTGGCATTATTTCCGGGGACTGTGGGAGGTGCCAAGTGCTGAGTCCATGGGTCCTCGGGGCCCTCAGGGAGACAGTAGCTAAGCTGGGCTACACACAGCAAGCCCAATGCAGGGCCAGGCCTGGGTGCTGGCACCGGGCTGCACCCATACTGTGCCATGGGCCTGGGTTGGGTGTGTAGGAGCCCTAGATGCACAGGAGAGTCCTGTCACTCCACAGGGAACTGATGGTGACGGAGGCAGTCTGTGGGATGGTTTGTCCCACCAGACCAGGTCCTAGGCCCACATGTTGGAAAAGTCTGTGTCCTGCTAAGGGGCAGATACTCTGCAGTGGGGCTGCCCTCCCCAAAAACACACAGCCCAAATCTCCACTTAGAGGCCAGCACTGCCTTTACCCATAGACCTTGGTGTAGCCTGGCTGGCAGTGAGCTAACAGCTCTGTGTCGCCCAGCTCCTGGGGGCCGGGCTGACAGAGTTCACCAGTTTTCCCAGTGTAAACTTCTACGTGCAGCTGAGGACAAGCTGCTTCCTGAGGTCACTGAACGAGGGCTGGGGAGACACAGCTTCACTGGGCAGTGTGTTTCCATCCACAGGCTCAGGGTGTGAAGAACCAGAGAAGAGAGGAGATGGTAGAACACAGCAGATAAGGAGACTGTGATGAGAGTTGGGTACTTAGTGCTTTTTAGGTATAACTTCTTTGACTGGAGTGGATGGATATACTCTTCAGGACAGCTGTGACCGTGGTTAGCACAGTTCTCCAAGATTTAAGTCCACTCTGGAATGTGGCAGGTCACAGATGCCTCCTTGATCAGAGCTGTCCCTGGTGACGAATTCTTCTTGTTTTGGCCCTGTTTTCTCCAGGCAGACGAGGGAACAGGAGACACCCCCTGACTTCTTTTACTTCTCTGACTATGAGAGGCACAATGCAGAGATCGCCGCCTTCCACCTGGACAGGTGAGGCCCCATCCCTCCACCTCCCCAGAGGGGCTGCAGAGGCCACGTGTCCTGGAACTGTGTGGTCTAGCCTTGGGGTCCACAGTCCATCACCATCATAATCACCCCATAGCTGCCGTCTCAGGGCTCTCCATCCAGAGCAGCCTGTGGGTTAGACTTCACACCCCACCAGCCAGCAAAGCACTAGGGCTCTGAGGGAGCAGTCTGCCCTTGATTCCTGAGATGCATGGGGCACTGCTTACTGTCCACCCTGGCGAGGAGTGGCTGGGGTGGATGGAGGGTAGTGGGAGCTGGGAACACAGGGGCAAGGTAGAGGGTTTCTTGTGCATTTTATCATGGATAGTCACGGGCAAGAGCTGCCCTGGAGCACCACAAAGGCTTCCTGGAAGAAGAGAGTGAGTAAGGGTCCCTGTCACTTGTCTCCTAAGGGGCAGCTCAGACAGTGGGACATGGTTAATACTGAGTTCCAATCACCGCCTTGCTGCTGAGCAGATGGGGTGTCTGATACACACCCCGTGTGACAGTCATCTGTGTCTGTGCCTGGAAGGGGGGTTCTTAGGCCTGCCCCTGGGGTCAGCTGGGTGTGGAGGACAGAGACCCCATCCAGGCCACAGCACAGGGCAGGCGTGGCCCTCGGGCCTCCAGGGCCTCCTCGGCCAGACACAGGTCTCGGCTTCGAGTCCTCCAGCCCTGGTTGGTCAGAATGCAGCGTTGGGCTGCACCCCAGAACCAGAGTCTGCATCTAACAAGATCACAGGTGACGCCAGTGAGACAGCAGACCTTATGTGGCAACTGTAGAACTCCCCAGGACTCTGATTTTCATTAACTTCACCCACTTCGAGCAGCGGAGACAAAGAAAAGGACAGCAGTGGCCCCATGCTAGTAAGGCCACTGCCCAGGACACGTGGGCCCTCAGGGCAATTTGTTAATAAAAACAGGCCACGCAGCCTGGGGGCGCCTGCGCTGGGCGGGCAGGCAGGAGGAGGTGGCAGGGTGTGCCCTTCCCGTCCCTCCTTGCCTGGCTCCTCTCCAGCCAGCCCCTCTCGACATCCTGTGTCAGCAGGAAGAGCTCACATCGGCATCTCCATTTAATTAAGCAAGTGGCCATGCATGCAGCGCCACTCAGAAAGAGTTCCATTAAGAATGCTTAATTTAATTTAGTTTCATTTTAAATTTAGCCCTGAAATGAGGGCATGTTGTAGCGATTGGGTGCCTGGCAGGGCCGGCGCCAGCACATGAAGCAGCAGGCACATTCCACCCAACTGTGCTGGCAGAGTCACAGCTGGCAGCTGGCTTAGACTGGGGAAGGAGAATGTGGCTCCCTGGCTGCCATGGAGGCCACTGAGAATCGGCCTTGGATGGTAAAGAGTCCTTTCTTTGCCTTTGTCTTGCCAGGATCTTGGACTTCCGCCGAGTCCCACCTGTGGCGGGCAGGATGGTCAACATGACAAAGGAGATCCGGGATGTGACTCGGGACAAGAAGCTGTGGAGAACCTTCTTCATCTCTCCAGGTAGCCTTGCCTGGTAGCCTGTGGGGCCTGTGATGCAGGGACCTGGGTCACCTCTGAAAGGAGAAGCACTGCCGAATGCTGGTTCTCGGCCTGTGGCCCTTTGTAGAGACCAGGCATGCTTCCCATCCACAAGTGTCCAGCTACCCGACCCGTGAACCGGCGACCAGAGGCCACGTGGGTGTGGCCGTGTCACTGACCGCTTCCCTGTGCAAGGCACAGGGTTACAGACACTGTCAACCACTGTGTATTTTGGTATTTAATTATTCATCTTCCCTGGCTACTTAAACCTGCATTCGAGGCTCCCCTGACCCACCCACTTCTGAGTCCTTCCTGGCAGTGGCCCACACCAAGCCCCTGGCAGTGGTGCACGCTGCATGCTGGGCTCTGGGGAGCCCCTTCCATATCCAGATGTGCCCCGTGGTCTCCACAGAGCAGATGTAGTGATGGGCAGAGCCTCCTAGCTCATCACATAAATCCAATAGCTGTCTTTAATGGCTGCATCTTAGGGTTTGCTGGCACATAAAAGCCTGACCTGAAAGCTCATCTCATGTAGATGTTTCAGATCAATATACTCTGTACTCTTTCCTAACTGCATTCGCGGAGTTGTCAGAATCCAGAGCTGTGAACCCCTACTTTAATTAAGCTCTGTTTTCCTCACCCAGTACTCGACTAACTCTTCATACAGTCACTTCCTCTCTCAGAGCCCATTCATAAGAGAGAAATAGGGACAGAAGTCCCCAAAGAAGCAAAGGAGAATGTCTCCTTCCCCGGGGAACTGGCCGGAAGAGCCGAATACGAGCCCGTATGTCTGGAGGGTCTTGGGGGGTTGGCCATCCCCAGGTTTAGCCCTGCCTGGGCTCTCCACTAGAGGTCTGAAACCGGCCCTCAGCCTGGGACCACAGCTTGCTGCTGGCATTTGGGCTCTTGCTCACCCCACCCGCTGCCCAGCCATGGCCCTGTTGATCTTCCTCCAACCCCATCATCCCCACACCCTCCAGCCCTACTTTGTGTCCCCACTGCCACCAGACACCTGGCTGCTTCTTGACTATTTCCTTTTACAATTTTTATTTTGACCCTTGTAGTGATATATTTCAAAGGCTAAAAGAAAAGTTAAAGAATAACTTTCCTGTTCTCAGGAGCCCCCACCCAGCTTGGCAGTTGCTGACATTTTCCACCTGGACCAATGCCCGTGTTCTAGACCAGGCCTCATTCCTGGGCTCCCAAGTCTGGACAAAAGACAAATACAGTCACAGGCCTAGGAGGGAGGGGTCAGCACACCCCCTTACACTGGGCACATCCCTGGCCAAGGCCACACAGAGGGATAATTTCACCCACTCTGACTGAACCCACTCCTACTGGGCAGGCCACCCATTCCTGCAGTCCCAGGGTCAAGGTAGTGGGTGAAGGTAGACTGGGTGCCCCACAGCCATGCGCTCATCTGACAGCACCCCAAAGCCTTCAGGCAACAACATGGACAGGGAGGCTAGCGCCATTGGAATGTCCACCGCATTGGGACATTGGCAAGGTGGGGGACACTGTGTTTTCTGCCTCCCATCACCCAGCATCTAGGAAACACCTCTGCCCAGGAAGGAGAGCCCAGGGGAGGCCTTGTATGCAGTGTGCTCTGCCCAGTTTGTGGTATTTTTAGGTCATTTCATAATAGTGAAGGTTTATGGATACGTTCTTCTGTTTTTGTTCTGTTTTGGATTTTGCAAAGACCGAGCCAATTACTAGCATAAGCAGACAAATTAAAATACTCCTCACCCACTTTGGTTGACCTTTGGGATCCCTCCACCCCTCAGCAGGGAGCTCTCTGTTCCTGGAGTCCCTGTGGCAAGGCCATCAATGGCTCCCATGGTGGTGGCATTGTGAACTCTCTCACATCTCTGCTCAGCTGGCCCTGCAGCCTCCCAACCCCTGGTCTCTGGCTTCTGATCAAGACCACGTTTTCCCTGCTGGTCATCAGCTCCTGTGAAACCCTGAGAAGCCTCCTTGGTCAATGTAGCTCACCTGGCCGGCCACTTCTGGTCCCTGCTGGTCACTTCTGAGTGCAGCCCCCTGGGCCCTAGGTGTCCCTGACTACACTGCATCAGTGGATCTCTTCTGACAACCTTTGAAACGTTCGCTTCCCTGTGAAGCAGCAGGGTCTCAAGAGCCAGTTTTGATCTCGTTTTAGAAAACGAAATCTGTTCTGCTTCATTTGCTTTGTTTTTGCTTTGCTTGTACTTCTAGCCCATCCGATACCAAAATTGCCATTGCTGCTTCTCAAGAGCCAAGTGCGACTGGAGAGGCTTTGATCCCAGTAGCTGCCCTCCTGCTTCTGAGCAGCTCTTCTCCTGGGGTCAGTCAGAAAAAGGAAACCCAGGAAAGAGGGAACTCATATGGCCTTGGAGCCCATATGAGCCCAGGCAGCCCAGTGCAAGGTTAGGACTCTGGGAGCTGTGTTCAGAGAAGGCAGTGCAGTACCCAAAAGCTGCCCGCCTGTGAGAAGCAGGGCCAGTGAGAGCCCACATCTCCAGGGCTGCAGTTCTCACCAGCTACACACCTTTGCTTTCTCTGTGAGTTCTGAAGGACACATCATGTACATCCCAATCATATGTGTACTTCCTTTAGCTGGGCGCACCTGTGTGGCCTTCCAGGGAAGGACACAGGCCCTGAGCACCGCCGAGTGGTTTTGCCTGTCATTGAAATGGCTCTTCTTGCTGCCTCCCTGGCCTGGGCTGGGACAGGGGCACTGCACTGTCCATACCCTGTATCCAGTTCGTGTACACACCGAAGGAGCATGGTGTTTCCAACGTGAGATCCTGCCAGCATCCAGGGCACCACCCCATGTGGCAGGGTGTTCACCGGTGTCCACAGCCACTGTGAGACGGGGGCAAGGAGGGTGGATGTCCTCCTAAGAGACACATCTTGCTGCCATGCTGACCCTGGAGGGTTCCGAGAGGCCTGTCCTGGGCCCTTGGGTACTTGGTGGGGGCCATCTGCATCAGCATCCCTAAAGGAAGCAGACACTCATGGCTCCAGGTCGAGGCCAGGCCCAGGAGCAGACTGGCCCATCTTCAGAGGACTGAGGGTAGGTAGGTGCTGGCTCTCCCAAGCTGGCTAGACACTGGCTTTCTCCGCTCTTCTTCGTTGATGCTGCAGAAATGGAGCAGGACGCAAGCTCCTTCCTCCCCAGAGCCTGCCCTCTGCAGGAGGCTGGAATCCATTCAGTGAGGCTGTCTGTGCACCTGGTGTAACCCTCAGCCCTGCACAGGTGCACCTGACCCTCATTGCGCAGTCAGAAAGCGACCTTGGCCTTCAGAGCAGCCAGCCACACTCTGGGTATCCCTTTAGAGGCAGGATTTGCACCTGCTGCGGAAGGAGCTGAGCTGTGAAATGCCCTTGCCTTTTAACAGATACCATCTAAACCAGCTCAGCGAGGGCAGGAGGCTATTAGCGTGATCGATTTCATGGCTCCAGCCAGTGAGAGATGGGATAAAGATTTTCCTCCCAGAAATGGAGCTGTCGCTCAGCTTTGGCCATTCTGTCTACCAGAAGCTGCTGATTAACCTGTATCAACCCCAGGGCGAAGGCAGGCCAATCACTCTTTACTGTTGGATTGTTCTTCACATGGTAATGATGTGGTGCTGGACGGATGTTGAGGCAGGGAAAGGAGGGAGAGGCAGGTGGTGCCCAGCCAAGCTTGCTGTGTGCCCCAGCTGTGGGAAGCAGTTGTCTCCCTGGGCCTGCTCCTCAAAACTCTGTCCTCCTTCCTCTGCTCTGGAAGTGCTTGGCAGAATTTGCACTCTGACTCTTGGTCCTCCCCTGTGTTCTGAAGGCCATGGGGAGATCCCGGAAAGGCCTGGGTGTGTGGCTCAGGAAGGAAGTGACGTCTAGACGCAGGCATGCATGGGAAGGTGCACAGCAGGGGCCTCAGCTCCAGCATACAAACCAAAGAATGAAAACAGATACAGTCAATAAATACATGCGGGAAGAGATCATCCTGGGGATATGATGACGGTGAGATTGTACTCAAGGTCCCTAGCAGCAAAGTCATGAACCGGGCAGCTATCGGGCAGCAAGGACTTGCAGTTTGTAAACAGTTCTTTTTTTAAACTGAGATACAATGCAACATGTCATGAAATTCACCACTTTAAAATATACAATTCAAGGGCCAGGCATTTAACTCAGTGGCACCATGCCTGCCTCACAAGTGCAAGGTCCTGAGTTTGGTACTGAGAGAGAGGGA